GGACACAAAAAATTACAGTTTAGAGAAGAAATGTAATTAGTCATAGGCATTAAAAATGTTTAGCTCCACTGATAATAAAAAATGTAAATTACAACTCTGTAACACTATTTTTCCTATAAGAAAAGGGCATTTTCAGTGTTGGGGAGGGGGTGATAGGCACTCTCAAACTGGTGTTGAGAGGGTACAATGATGAAACTCCTCTGGAAGCAATCTGACAATCCATAGCAATAGTCTTAAAATGTGTGTGTCTGTTGACCCAGCAATTCTATTTCTAGGAGACTATACTAAGATAATAATTAGGAATATGCCCAAAGATTGTTGTATAGAATTGGTCAGTGTAGCCTTATTTATAATAGCGGAAAACTCAGGAAAGTTTAAATATACAGTAATAGAGGAATTATTAAATTATGGCACATCCATAAAATGGAATTGTGTATAGCCATCGAAAATGTTTTAGAAATATTTATTAACATTGAAAATGCTGACAATATACTATGAGGTGAAAAGAACAAGATATAAAACTACATATACAGTATGGTTCCAATTAAAGAAAAGTGTATGTAAAGTATGTACATCTGCAAATAAAAGGCAGGGAGGAAATGCATAAAAATGTCATCAGTGGTTATTTCTGGGTGGCAAGATGATAGACATTTTGAATTTTTAACTTTATACTTTTGTGTACTTTCAAAATTTTTTCCATAAACATGTATTACATTTATAAGTAGAATAAAAAAAGAAATGATGCGTAAGAATTAGTGCAAGAGGGCTGATGTCAGGTAGAATACAAATGACTGCTACTTGTCACTTACAGAGGAGTGTTACCCTCAGTGTCTTGGATGTTTGTGGATGCTTTGTAGTACAGAAGAATATGAATCATCTTCAAGTTACCCTTGGCTGCTGCCCGGTGCATTGCTGTAGCCTCATAATGGTCCTTAGCATCTGGATTAGCCCCGCCTTCTAGTAACATGACAGCAATCTGGGAAGATGGAGAACATGATGCAGAAATCTATTTGTGTTTGTGTATTGGTTCAGAACACAAAAGAAGTATCCTAGGAATGGAATCCTACCTCATGCCTGTTTTTGGAAGCTGCATAATGTAGGGGAGTACAGCCATTCTGATTGACAGCATTCACTTGAGCACCTTTTCCCAGAAGGGCTTTTACAATCTCATCCCGGCCAGCAGAAGCAGCAATATGAAGAGGAGACCAACCTGCCTGTAAAAGAGGCGGGAAGAACAAAAAACATGGAGAAAAGGCACAGGTATTAATGCTAACATTTAGGCATTTACAAAGAGCTGAGCGTGAATGGTTTTAAAAAATTATACTCTTTCTTTTTCCCTTCTTAAGTATTGCAGGACATTTGGAAACCAGATGTATACAGAGGAAAAGAAAAGCACCCATAATCCTATAACATGGAGATACTACATAAATTTAATTCTAAGGTGTTTTAAAGTTGGGATCATGGGATATCAAGTTCCAAGAGTTGCATTTTCCACAATTTCCACTTACTATGTTGTAAGCATTTTTCTATGTCATTCTTTGGAATTATAACTTTATTGGTTGCATATTATTTTATTATGTGGATATACCTACTATATTCAACTGTTCCTCCATTAAATTGTTTTTCTTTGCCATTAGAAATATTACTTCATTGAGCATTCTTAAAAAGGAATCTGTCTACAAAAGTTTCCATCCTTATTCTTCACAAGTCTTATCCTAATATAACCAATACCATTACACTAAATCTCTTCATAATGAAAAAAGATATCTAGGCTCTCATTATTCAGGTAATATTCCCTCCCCAAAATTTCCCACATAATAAAAAAAAGGGTTTGCAGACTCTTAGGGGTCATTGTAATAAGCCTCTATCGGCAATGTTTATCTTAAATTATGAGCGGCAAAATGAACATTCTGAAATAATGCAACCACTAGTCCTGTATTTGGTAACTGGGGTCACACTGTAACTTCCTAGTCATAAAGGTCAAAATTTGTTTGTGAGCTTAATACTCAAGCTTCAGTAAACACCAGTCTGGAGTCTAAAGATAACTGGGAATTTATCAACTCTGCCTAGTACTCACATCATCTTTATCATTCACTGGCACGCCAAGTTGCAGCAAGAATTCAACAATTTCTGTATGTCCGGCTGAGCATGCCCAATGCAATGCAGTTCTGCTGTCCTACACGGGAAACAGAGAAGCAGTAAGATCAACATTCTTGAAGAGAAATCGAAGAAGTAAGGTGAGAAAGCAGAAAAAAATTAATATTGGAGCCAGCAAACCTACAGTTTGGAAACAAGAAATGGAGAGCACTGGATCCTCAGGTAGGTAACCTTAAAATAAACTGTATTACTTAGTAGAGAGACCAAGGTTTTAGTAACATGGGGAGAATACACTGATGAATGTAGGCAATTCTGAGCAGAATAAAGCCATGAAAGCAATAGAGCAAAAAAACTGATTTCAGTGCTTTGGCAGAAATAGATCTTTGGCTATTTAAATTATTTATATACTTTTATGTCGGACATTGTGCTAAGTGTTCACGTATCATCTCCTGTAATCCTCATGATCCCATACAGAGGACATTATCCCCATTTTACAGATGAGGAAACTAATACTCCTCAGGGTAAGCAACTTGTCCAAGCTCACAAATCTAGTCAATGGTGAAGTTGGGACACAAACCCCTATATGTCTGCTCTGAATTTTCCAGATGCTCTAGAAAGAACAAATGAATCTTATGAGAAAGAAATGTTCATAAACTAGTTGAAATTATCTATATAACCACTTAAAAACATATAACACACAGCATTAGAAAGCAATATTACTTTAAAAAAATAATAAGCTAGGAGTTAGTCATGTTTCTCAAGGGGACTCTTTTTTTTGCAGTGACTGTTACATTTCTTAGCCCTATGTAAAAGAAAATGGTATTTTAAACTTTATTAAAAAATTTCAAACTCATAAAATAGAGGGAATATAATATAAAGCCATATGCCTATCACCTACATTTTATAAATATTTTGCCATATTTGCTTCATCTGGTTTTTCCCTTGATGAGATTTTAAAAAATAAATCTTAAATATCCTGACTTTTCATCCCTAAATATTTGAGTATCTAAAAAAAATTTCCTAAATCTAAAAAATTAACACTAGCTCTTTTATAACATTAAATACCCAGTCTGTATTCAGATTTCCCCAACTGTCCCCCAAATGTCTTTTTGCAGTTGTCTTGTTTCAATCAGGATCCATAGGAGGTCGGTAAGTTACAATTGTTTGCTATGCTTCTTAAGTCTTTTGATCTTAAATAGCTTCTCCCTTTTTTATGCTACTGACTTCATGAAGAATGGTTATAAATATGATTAAACTTTAATATAGTTAGATTAAATCAAAAGCATTAAATATTACCAGACCAAAATGAAGGTAAACTAGGCAAAGGCATTTTGAAGTTTGAATAATAAAGGAAAGTTCTAGGAAAAAAGTCTCCTGACTTCTAATTTTCTTCCCAAAGACAAAAAATCGGGAGTTTTAAGTATGTGACACTGTCTCACTAGTGCTTAGCACGGTACTTGTCAAATAGCAGGCCGTCTACAAATATGTGTTGGCTTACTGGGGGCACCGTGAATCTTTCTAGAAACTCAGGGTGAAAGCAGGAGGGTCCTTTGAGCGGGAAGGCAGAAAGAAACACTGCCTAAGGTCAACTCACTTCTGTTCTGCCTCTGCCTAGAATACCCGTTCATCTCTCAGGGATCCCCTACTTATCCTTCTAGATAAAACCCAACCTTCCCTCCTTTGCAACGCCTTTTCAATTAGGACAGAATTCGGCATTCTTAAGCGAGATTAAATCAAGTCCTTCCATTATACGTTCTGAAAGCACCACGTCAACTTCCCTCCCGAGTATTTAGCACAATCGGACATATAATTTGGGATTATTTTATTAACGTCTGTTCCTTCCACTCGATTGCATCCCCAGCTCCCAGTAAATTGCCCGGCACAGAAGAGGCGTTCAGTTACATTTCACACGTGTTCCATCGGGGGGAAAAATCACTAATAAAAGCAAAGAAACCCATTTTAAAAAAATCAGAACCTTTCCTTCTCACAGATATTTCAAAGACTGGGCATATCTGAGAAATGCGCTAAACGTTCTAGAAATATCCAAAATGCAGCGAGCTAAGTACTGGGCCAAAAACAAAACATTGGCGGCTTGCGGGGCTAGCTCCGGCAGCCCGATCCCGAGTCCTGAGGTGACCCCGGGTAAGGATGGGGCGGTGGGGGCGGGGATCTGGCCCTCTCGGAACCGGCCTACCCCTGGGCTGGGCTGGGCTGAACTGGGCCGGGCCGCCACGTTGGGCTCCGTCGCCACCTCCTGCGGAGAGGCCCCAGCGCTGCTTTACCTGGTCAGTCCTAGTAGCCAGGGATTTATCGGCCAGGATCCTCTCCTTCAACTCCTCCAGCTTCCCGCTGTAGGCCAGGTTGCAGACCATTAAATTAGACACACACCCCTCCATTTCGCCTTCCCAGGATCTCCAGGAAGCCAGCCCAACGACCTCCTCACGTCGCCGGCTCCGACTGCCAATCAAAAGAGCCGGTAGAGCTTCACCAGTCACCGGCCTCCCTCACTCTTTTGCTTGTCTCATCGCAGGGCGCCTCTGGGAGTTGCAGTTTGAGCGCAGCTCCGGACGGGGAGGCGCCTTCGCCGCTCCCTCCGACTCGGCTTCTAGCAGCGCGGAACTACGAGCCCCAGGGTCACTTGCGGCCGCCGTAGTCAAGTGGCCGGTGGAATTGGCCCAGGATGACAGCTGGAGAATGGAGTCAGGTACGGGGAGCGGCTTCGTGTGGAACCGGGGTGGGTGGTCGCTGCTGGGGCATTGAGTCGGTGACGCGAAACGGGTGCGGGGTCATGGCAAGAGAGTTATAGGAACATAAAAGTCCTGTCCCCCGGGGGCCCTGACCTGCAGTGGTAAGCGGAAGGGAAAACAGTAGAAGCTGAGTACTACCTCCTGGGCTCAAACCGGTACTTGTGGCTACCCTCCCCCTCGCTGCTGCCGCGAAAGGAATGAAAAGAAGTGGAGGTTATTTATTCTGACATCTCGGCGGAGTGGCATCAGGGCAGAATTCTGTCACAGTAATGATAGCATATGACAGTAAGATGATGTGCCGGGGTGATGCCAAAGGCAGGGTGTGATGCCATAGGAGCCACTTGATATCTAAGAGATCTCGGTGAGTTCACGGCCTGGTGACATCACAGCTTGATAAGGATCATCTTGACACTGTGGTATGGTGTTGGCTCTTTAATATCATGATAATAACGATGACATCGAGGCTTTGCTAGATTAAGTTAATATTAAGTTAATAGTGTTTCTATTTATGGAAATCCTAAATAGTGCCATAGGAGAAGAGATGCAAGGCTTCTCCTTTATAGGGCATATCCAGAAGAGCATCATGCCAAAACTAGGTAATGATAAGAATACACTCAAGAAAGAGACTGATTATGTTTATATTTATCCTGTTATAGTGTAGAACAGGGTTCTGTAAAGCACCAGATAGTAAATATTTCAGATTTTGGGGCCATTTTGAATGGATGTGAAATGATATCTCGTTGTTCTGATTTGTATTTCCTTAATGACTAGTGATGATGAACATCTTTTTGTTTACTTATTAGCTATTCATGTATCTTTTCCATTTTTAAATTGAGTTGTTGTCTTTATTGTCTTTTTATTATTGAGTTGTAAGAATTATTTATAACTTATCCATTCCCACCACTTACTACATAAAGTCTGAACAGCTGGCCTGAATACCCTTTGCGATTGGTTTTTCATTGTTCGCAGGTGTGATCTGTTTATGTGGTTAATTGCAGGCAATTCACACTAGCCTGTTGCCTGGTTTAAGATGAGACATTTTAATCTGTGGCTCTCATTTTTTAAAGCACAAGTTTAGATCCTACAGATAGAAATGTCCTTGGTATTGTATGTCACTGGACTGTACAAATCTTCCCCACTTAAAATCTCTCTCTTCATGAAACTGGCATATTGTTATAGGTTGTTGTAATAAAACATTTTACTTACTTGATCCCGGGGTTTTTGCTTCCACACTCTTGTTTCTGAGTTATTTGCTTTATAAGTGGTATATTTTTTAACGTGTTATTATAAATAATAGAAGATTCATAAAAGGTTGCAAAAAGTATAGAAAGGCTCCACCTACTCTTCATCCAGTTTACCCCATCATTACATTTCACATAATTATAATACAATATTAAAACTAGGAAATTGACATTGAAATTGTAACCAAGCAGGAACCTGTGGGGCCTTCCCAGGACAGACCCCTCCCCCATATCTTCTGCTGTAGCTCCTCTCTGAAGTACCCAGATCATAGTATCTCATGTATATTTCCTGAGTTTTTCAGATGCTAAACACCATCATCAAATGGAGGAAATTAACAATTTGATGATCATGAGCACCTGGCCCCCAGACCGTCTGGCGCCTGGGGGTTGATATTGTTGACCACCCTGTTACCTCAGCATCAACCAATCAGAGAATTGTGCACAAGTTGTTCACAGTCCCCCTCCCTTACCTGGCCTTTAAATATGCTTTGGGGATTTGGGGGTTTTCTTGGGTATGAGTCACCCCGTCCTCCTTGCTTGGCCCTGCAGTAAACCTTTCTCTACTCCAGACTCCAATGTTTTGGTTTGTTTGCCCTCACAATGGGTCAGGCACACGAACTCACATTCAGTAACAGAGTGATGTGTGTGTGCAATTGTGTTATTTTATAGCTTGTGTAGATTTGTGCAGCCATAACTGCAATCAAGATACAGAAATATTCCTTCACTAGAAAGCTACCAGTTCATAGTCACACCTACCACTTACCCTCACCATCCAGAACCCCTGCTAAATACCAATTTGTTTTCCTTCTCTATAATTTTGTCATTTTGAGAATTTTAGATAAATGAAATCATAAAGAATGTGACTTTTTCCAGTTTTTCCACTTTGTATAATGACATTGAGATCCACTCAAATTGATATCTGTATCAATAGTCTGTTCTTTTTTATTGCTGAGAAATATTTCATGCTATGGGTGTACTATACAGTTTGTTTAACCACTCACCGAATGAGGAACATTTGGTTGTTTCCAGTTTGGGGCTATTACAAATAAAACTGTGAAAAACATTTGAGGATAAGATTTTGTGTAGACATAAACTTTCATTTGTCTGACATAACTGCCCAGGAGAGTAATGGCTGGGTCATATGGTAAATGTATGTTTAGTTTTTAAAGAAGCTTTTCCAGAGTGGTTATATAGCATTTTTACACTCCCAATGGCAGTCATCGTATAAGAGATCCATTTTCTTTGCATCCTTGCCATATTGTCATTGTCATTGTGTTTTATTTTAGCCATTCTGATAAGTGCATCATAGTGATATCTTTATTGTGGTTTTATTTGCATTTCTCTAATGGCTAATGATGGTCAGTATCTTTTCATGTGTTTATTTGCCATCCCTATATATTCTTCAATGCAAGGTCTCTGTATTCTTTGCCCATTTTCTTTAAAATTAAAAAAAATTATTGAGGTGACATTGGTTTGTAACATTATATGTTTCATGTATACATTGTGTTTCTACTTCAACATACACTACAGATTGCTCATCACCAAAAATCTAGTTTGTATCTATCACCATCCAGTTGACCCCCTTTACCCATTTTGCCCTCCCTCTGCCCCTTTCTTTCTTGTAACCACTACTCTGTTCTCTATATCTACCTGTTTGTTTTTGCTTGGTTTGTTCAATTATTTTGTTTGTCTTTATTTTCCACATATGAGTGGAGTCATACAGTATTTGTCTTTCTCTGACTTATTTCACTTGACATAATACCCTCAAGTTCTATCCATGCTGTTGCAAATCCTTTGTCCGTTTTATAATTGCATTGTTTGGGGTGTTTTGTTTTGTTTTTACCTGTTCAATTTTGAGAGTTCTTTTGATATTCTAGATACAATTTCTTTGTCACATATGTAGTTTGCAAACATTTTTCTACCAATCTGTGGCTTGTCTTTTCATCTTATTAATAGGATTTTTCATGGAGCAAGAGGTTTTAATTTTGATGATGTCCACATCATCGATTTTTTTTTATGAATTGTGCTTTTGTTGTTATGTCTAACAACTCTTCACTAAGCCTTAGGTCTTGAAGATTTTTTGTAGATTTTCTTCTAAAGTTTTTTTTAACATTTTTTATTGATTTATAATCATTTTACAATGTTGTGTCAAATTCCAGTGTTCAGCACAATTTTTCAGTCATTCATGGACATATACACACTCATTGTCACAGTTTTTTCTCTGTGATTTATCATAACATTTTGTGTATATCTCCCTGTGCTATACAGTGTAATCTTGTTTATCTATTCTACAATTTTGAAATCCCAGTCTATCCCTTCCCACCCTGCATAAAAGTTATTTTGAACTCAAGGCACTTAAGCAGCAGCGAACTCAGAGAAAGCCCACCTTTCTCTGCCTAGAGGCACCATATAAATTCTGCTTTTATTTAGACTCTTCTTAGCCCAGGGAAGGCACCAGACGAAGCTGCAAAGAAACCTTACTCTTACTTTTTCGCCCATGAATTTTCCTTCCCACAGTTGGCGCCCTTGAAAGCCCAAGCTTCCCTTTGCCCTGTCGTTTCTCTACAGATGTATTATTCTTTTTGGCGATGCTGCGTAAACTGGAATTCCAGCTGCCGTTTTGGGTTTCTTTTGCTTCAGGTTTCTCCTGAGTGGTGTGCACTGTGCGCCTCGATC